TAATAACAAGGTTTTATCATCATAAAACCCATATCAATACAAACAACCTCCAAAAGGTTATTTTCCGGTGAACCCGTCAACTTGGCTCTCAAGGTTCGTTTTGGGTATAAACCAACCCTTCAACCCCCATTCTACACTTTTACATGTGTAGAACTATCCTAGGAGTGTGAAATGTGATTAAAGAGAAGGAATGGGATTAATGAAGTCATTACCTTATTAATCACAAGTTTTCGCACCTAAACTCCTCTTTTCTCTTCTCTTTTCCTTCCTTCTTCCTCCCTTGCTCTTGGTGCATGTATGGTGGATGAAAATGGAGTATTTCCAGATCTTTTCTCTCCTCTTTGAGTGTCTTGGTCGAGCCTATGGGTATAGGGAGTGATTGGGGTGTTTTTGGCTCTTCCTATGATGGTAAGAGGTGAGGGGTCCCTTGGAGTCAACTCTTGTCTCAACCTCCCCTTCCATCCCCCTTCCATCACACCAGCCGACCCCCTCTCTCATTTGTCTCAAATGATTTCGTGGGGTGGCCCCCACATATGTGGGAGGTCATCCCTTTGTGTCCCCGAGTGTACACTCGATCCCGAAAGTTGTATTTTCCGGACTGTTTTAACTATATTTCATTTTATCGGGTAAAATGAAATATATCTCATCCTTCCAATTATTATTGGCTATAAGAATGAATGTATATTCCTCATCTTTAATTTGGTGGTCTCCATAATTTATTATGGCTTTTTATCTGATATTCCTTCGGTACCGATAAATGGGCTTTATATGCACAACTGGCCAACACGCATGGTTTATATGGCCCAACTTGGACATCCACCATCATATACATATTATCTAGACCCAGATGAATATAATATGCGGTCCCAATAATATCGGGCGGCCCCCACCTCTGGTGTGGGCCCCACGTGGATTTTACTATCCACGTAAAAGAATGATAAAAATTTACAATCGCGTAAAGATGAGTTTATTCATTTATCAAGGTTCAGTACATGAATTGATAAAGTACAAATACTTGGGGGCGGTGTTACAAGTTCTACCCCCCTTATTTGGGATTTCGTCCCCGAAATCCACGTGTCTAGTCAAACAGAAATGGATACTGTTCCCTCATCAGGGTCTCCACTTCCCAAGTTTGCTCCTCGACACGATCACTCTTCCAAAGTACCTTCACCATCGGTACCTCTTTACTCCTTAGCTTCTTTACCTGTCGGTCCGTGATCTTTACCGGCTGCACCGCATAGTGAAGGTCTTCCCGGATTTCTACCGGTGGTTTCTCAAGAATATGTGACGGGTCCCGTACATACTTCTTGAGCATAGAAACATGAAATACGTTATGAATCTTTTCTAATTCTGGAGTTAACTGAAGCCGGTACGCTACAACCCCAATCCTTTCAATGATTTTGAATGGGCCTATGTAGCGTGGGTTAAGCTTACCCCGACTGAGGAACCTGATGATCCCTTTCCAAGGTGACACCCTCAAAAATACCTCATCGCCGACCTCGAACTCTAACGTTCTTCGTCGTTTATCTGCATAGCTCTTCTGCCGATCTTGGGCAGCCTTGAGTCTATCCTGAATAACTTTCACCTTCTCCTTGGTGATCTCAACTAGTTCAGTACCCTCAAGCTTGGCCTCGCCAACCTCATCCCAACACAAAGGTGTCCGACATTTCCTCCCATACAATGCCTCGTATGGAGGCATGCCTATACTTGCCTGATAACTGTTATTATAGGCGAATTCCACCAATGCCAACTGGTTGTCCCAACTTCCTTGGAACTCTAAGGCGCATGCCCTCAACATGTCCTCCAAAATCTGAATCACCCGTTCAGATTGCCCATCCGTTTGAGGATGGAAAGCCGTGCTGAACCTCAGCTTCGTCCCCATGGATTCCTGGAATTTAGGCCAAAACCGTGATGTGAACCGTGGGTCTCTATCCGACACTATAGTGACCGGAACCCCATGCAGTCTCACGATCTCATCAGTATACAACTTGGCCAGTCGCTCAAGCGTATAAGTAGTGTTGATAGGTAGAAAATGGGCACTCTTGGTCAACCTATCAACCACCACCCATACCGCATCAAAGTTCCTAACCGTCCGTGGCAAACCTACCACGAAGTCCATAGTAACATGCTCCCACTTCCATTCTAGGATGGTAAGTGGCTGTAATAACCCTGCCGGGTGCTGGTGCTCTGCCTTAACCTGCTGACAGGTAAGGCAACGACTCACATATTCAGCAATCTCTCTCTTCATCCCCGACCACCAGTAACTTTCTTTCAAGTCCTGGTACATCTTTGTTCCACCTGGGTGCATGGCATACGCAGATGAGTGAGCCTCCTCAAGAATAGATTTTCGGAGCTCCTCATCTGACGGCACACACACTCGCTCCTTGAATAGTAGGAGTCCATCTTCTCTCTCACGGAAACCCTCGACGGGTCCCACCAGCATCCGTTCTCGGATTTTCTGAATTTCCTCGTCATTGCCTTGACGCGTTCTGATTTCGTCTAATAGGGTGGGTCTCACCTCAAATCTGGCCAATAGAGCCCCATTCGTGGATACTTCCACGTGTGCCCTCAATGCTTGTAAGCATGTGAGTAAAACCCCTGATGAACTTTTCCTACTGAGAGCATCAGCAACCACGTTAGCCTTACCTGGATGGTAATCTATAATCAAGTTGTAATCCTTGATTAACTCCATCCATCTTCTTTGCCTCATGTTCAACTCCTTCTGAGTGAACACGTACTTCAAACTCTTGTGATCAGTATAGATGTGACACACCTCACCGTAGAGGTAATGCCTCCAAATCTTCAAAGCAAACACCACAGCCCCTAGCTCAAGGTCATGAGTGGGGTAATTCACTTCATGCTTCCTCAGTTGCCGAGAAGCATAAGCAATTACCTTCCCCGATTGCATCAGTACGCACCCAAGCCCCTGGATGCTAGCATCGCTATAGATGTCATACCCCAACCCTTGCACGGGTAGGGCAAGTACTGGTGCTTCAGTCAATCGTTTCTTTAGCTCAAGAAACCCCTTCTCACACTTGTCATCCCACACAAACTTAGCTCCCTTTTTAGTGAGCTTCGTGAGTGGAGATGCTATTACTGAGAATTTCTCCACGAATTTGCGGTAGTACCCCGCCAAACCGAGGAAACTCCTTATTTCCTTCACATTCTTGGGCCTCTCCCAATTAGTGACTGCTTCAATCTTCGAGTTATCAACTGAAATGCCCGAGCCCGATACCACATGCCCAAGAAAACCGATCTCCTCAAGCCAAAATTCACATTTAGAGAATTTGGCAAAGAGTTGTTTCTCCCGCAGTGTTTCAAGTACGAGCCTTAGATGTTTCTCGTGTTCTTCTTCGTTCTTGGAGTATATCAAGATGTCATCAATGAACACTATGACAAATTGGTCCAAGTATTGATGAAATACTCGGTTCATGAGGTCCATGAATGCCGCGGGGGCATTTGTAAGCCCAAACGACATCACTAGGAACTCATAGTGACCATACCTTGTACGGAATGCACTTTTGGGTATGTCACTTTCCTTGATCTTTAGTTGATGGTAGCCCGACCTCAAGTCGATCTTGGAGAATACGGTTGCCCCCCGTAATTGATCAAACAAGTCGTCAATCCTTGGCAAAGGATATTTGTTCTTTATCGTGACCTTGTTCAATTGTCGGTAGTCGATACACATTCTCATAGTACCATCCTTCTTCTTTACAAAGAGTACGGGTGCTCCCCATGGTGAATGACTCGGTCTAATGAATCCGTTATCTAGTAGCTCTTCCAATTGAACTTTCAACTCTTGAAGTTCAGCCGGTGCCATTCGATACGGAGGAATTGAGATGGGTTTGGTGCCTGGTTCAACCTCAATCTCAAACTCGATCTCCCGGTCGGGTGGGAGTCCCGGTAGCTCTTCAGGGAACACCTCCGGATACTCGTTCACCACCCTCACTTCTGTGAGGCTCTTCCCCTTGCCTTCCTTGCCTATGACATAGGCTAAGTAAGCTAGACATCCCTTCCTCATCATACGCCTTGCTCGTATGGCCGATATGATGCAAGGATTGAATCTTTCTCTATCCCCCTCGAAACATAGAGTATTTCCCTCACCATCCTTGAGTTCTAACACTTTGGTGTAGCAATCTACCTTTGCATGGTGCTTTTCAAGCCAATCCATGCCAAGTATGGCATCAAATTCAAGCATGGCTAACGGTACAAAGTCCCCCTTTAGACAGTGCTCCCCTATCTCCACATCACACGAAGGATAGTAGTCATTTCGTTCAACGTCATCCCCTAGAGGCGTAGATACCAAAAGGGTTTGCATCATTGGTATTAAAGGTGTGCCTAACCCCACGGCAAACACCTCACTAACGAATGAACGTTGTGCTCCCGTATCGATAAGGATCCTCGCATCCCTTCCATTAATCTTTAACGTTCCTACAATTATAAGTCATGTAAGGTACCTTGCCTACCTAAATTGAACTGTAGGCCCCGAAAAAGTCCGTAATTTACAATATACAGCAATACCCGGTCGGGTACACCTTTGTACCCGGTCGGGTATCCAATCCAGAAGCCAGCGGGTATGGAAATTTGGTATACCCGGTCGGGTAACCTGTTGTACCCGGTCGGGTATCCGTTCTAGAAGCTCGCGGGTAAAAATTTTCATTCTGCCCGGTCGGGTAACCTTCGATACCCGGTCGGGTAATCGTTCCAGTGGGTTTACCAGGCCAAAATCTCAGTATACCCGGTCGGGTGACCTGCCTTACCCGGTCGGGTATCAGCCTGGTTTCGTTGAATTCCCCCCGATTCGACCCTAAGTCAGTTTGCAATTGACCCTTAGGACTTATATCTTTAGTATAAGCCTAGAAACATATAAAATTTTAGTATATTACCTGCAACGGAGTCCGGGTTTGCTCGCGCATCCGCCTCGGTCATTGCATACACTCGTGCCTGGGTCCTACCTTGGTTAACGGACGTGGCATTGCTTGCCGTAGGTCCGCCCCTTCCCGTGCCGCCCTGAGATGGTCCTGCACGACCCCTTCCAGACGTAGGTGCCTCCACAGCTCCCGATGGCCCACCTCCACTCAACATTGGGCAAGAGGGTTTGAGGTGGCTTGTGCTACCACACTTGTAGCACCGGGGTGGTTCATTGCACTTCCCGGAGTGATTCCTGTTACAGTTTGGACACCTTGGTGGCCTTACGCTCCCCGAGCTATGCCCTTGCCCTCCTGGGCCCTTACTCTTCTTTGCCGGTGGTTCCGGCGCCCTGAATGATCTTCCATTCCCGGCGTGATGTTTCCGAGAATGGTCTTGGGGTCCAGAATTCCCCCATCTTCTCTTCTTCGCCTCTTCGGCGTCTCTCTTCTTCCTTTCATTCCACTTGGCTTCCCCAAGTAGCCCCTGATCCACAATCTCACTAAAGGTCATGTGATGATTGTAGGTAGCCCGATCACGGATATCCAAGTGTAGGGTGTCCCAGAAGTGATTAGCCATACGGTTCTCATCCATGGCGTACTCGGGTATGTACCGTGCCAAGTCCCGGAACCTTTGTTCCAGTTGCCTCACCGAGCAATCCTCCTCCTGTACCAGGGTCATGTACTCCTTCCTCTTCTGGTTCTTTTCGAACTCTGAGTAGTACTGATTATAGAATTCTACTTCAAATTTCTCCCAGGTGGTCTCACCGTGGAACTTTCCTTCCACGCCTTCCCACCATACAGCAGCTACCCCCTCTAGTAGCCTGGTAGCAATCGTTAGCTTTATGTCAAGCCCGATCTGCATATCCCTAGCAGCCTCATTCAATTTCTTGATCCAGTCGGCAGCCACCGATATATCACCCTTGCCATCAAATGACTTACACCCCAAGGCCCTCGCCTCCTTGAGGTATTTGGAGATTCTTACACAGAAACCTCCCCCCTGTACCCCCTGTGTCGCCACAGGAATGGCCACTGAAGCCCCCCGGCTTCCCTGACCCGAACCTCCCTGAGAGGCACGCCTAGCTTGGCGCCTAAGATCTCTCCTCAGCTTTTCCTTTTGATACCACTCAAACAATTCACCCATCTGGGCGAATTTGGCATCACTCTCATCATTGTCATCATCAGTGTACGTATCACCCCCATCATATGGGGTCTCCTCATGTTCCGTCTCGGGAACATATGTTGAGTCATAATCCTCGGTGTGAGTCCCATGCACCGAGCTAACATGGCCATCGCTCACGGTTTGAGCCTGATGACCTCCACGGCTTCCACGGCCTCCACGGCCTCCACGGCCTCCACGGCCTCTCCTACCGCCTCTCGCACCCCGGGATGCAACCTGGCTGGCCCCTATGGACGTCGCCTGAGTTTGCCCTCTCGGGTTGTTCCTCGTAGCCATGTGTCTACCCTCCATTTCTGAAAGAAATTTGGAATGAGTCGTTAGACTCGTATCAATGTCAATTGACGGAATAGTACAAAAGACACCACTTGGTCCAACATTATGGCCAACAAACTGTTAAGGGTACCATCTTAACAATAAGAGGTCAATAACTTGGTTTCCAACGGTTCCTTAAGTACAAAAACTTTTGCTCATGGTTTTGTTCAAAACTTTTTGATGATACTATATTGAGAGGTTAATCATATAGTTTAGAAATCGATGGCTTTGATACCACTTAATTGTCACGCCCCGGACCGCATCCGTGCCACGTAGACAACCGCCGTACAACCCAATAAGAACAACGTAGTTCATCCTTATTGAATCATACAAGGCGTCCGTTGAGTTCTATTGCCAAACCGATTAGTAAACCCATACAATCAACATCAATATATATTAGTCAACGAATGCGGAAAATAAGATATGTTTGATACTTAGCCACACGTGGCAAATACGGACACGCAGGCCCCTCAAATGTTTTAATGGAAAACATTGTTAAAAACATCCATGAGCAGTTTATAAACTTTGAATAAGAATGGAAGCACGAACCACGTCTTCCTCTTTGATCAATCACCCTTGGCGAAGGTGCAGGTAGTAGGACTCTAGCCTCAACCTGAAAAATGTGAGGGCCCCCGAAGGGGTCAGTACTCCATAGAAGTACTAGTGACAAGCAGGCTATATGAGGAATAACTAATGTTTCAGACACGAGACCCAAAAATAGGGTGATACATATGCTTATAGGTGTAACCATTGTTACCCCATTCCCAAGATAATACATAATGTATATACTTGTAAAATACTTGACCCGTAGGTCGTTTTATCACAAAGAGTCTTTTAGAGATAAGGTACTTTCCCAACCTATCCCCTTTCCATTCCTGAATGCCTAGCTTGAGAGCTACATTCTACCTTCATAATATCCTACCGAGTTTCAGGAGGGTTTACCGTCCCGGGGATACTCAACCCCAACCGAGTTTTGGGATCATTTACCGTCCCGAGGATACTCAACCTCAACCGAGTTTTTGGATTGTTTACCGTCCTGAGGATACTCAACCTCACCGAGTTTTGGGATTGTTTACCGTCCTGAGGATACTCAACCTCACCGAGTTTTGGGATCATTTACCGTCCCGAGGATACTCAACCTCACCGAGTTTTGGGATCATTTACCGTCCCGATGATGCTCAACCTCAACCTTAATTCTAACCAAACCCTAACCTGGATATGGCTAACTTTTCATTCACTTAACTATGGACAATACCTAGTCCTATAGTCATGTAATAATCCCTAGTGACCAACGTGGGTGGGTCCCACTTGAACGACCCACGTTAACCTGCTCAAAACTGCCTGTTTTGGGCATAGTCCAATACCCGGTCGGGTATCCAACCTTACCCGGTCGGGTAGGTCGGGGCAGAAGCCCCTGGAACTGATTTTACTTGAGACCCGGTCGGGTCCATACCCTTACCCGGTCGGGTCTAGTAGGACAGTGGCTTCTGGAGCCATTTTTAATCAATACCCGGTCGGGTATGTACCCATACCCGGTCGGGTATCACCTTTGCCTCGGCGGTCAACGCCCGTTTGACCGCCCAAACGGAGTCCGATCAACGCGAAATTTTATACGCATGTACTCCTTGACGTCCTTGATCCAAAAATACCATTTTGGATCCCTGGAGAATTGTACATAATAAGTTATCACATTTTTAATCACCAAACATACAAAACATGCTTTTCAACTATGTTTTATATATAACCGTGGCATAAGCCAATACTTGATTTACTTTAATCATTCCATAAGACATATACTTGATTACTTTAGGTAATCTCATGCCTCAATCAAAAGTTATAAAGCATATAGCCGTCTTCTCACCTTAAAGAAGCTTATGAAGTTCTAGCCTCCCTTATTGAGCTCCGGTGAAACTCCGGTGAACTTCAACCAACTCCGGCGACAACTCCGGCGACCCTTTCAACCCCGTGAAAGTTCTTGAAATACCTTATACAAGTTAATAACAAGGTTTTATCATCATAAAACCCATATCAATACAAACAACCTCCAAAAGGTTATTTTCCGGTGAACCCGTCAACTTGGCTCTCAAGGTTCGTTTTGGGTATAAACCAACCCTTCAACCCCCATTCTACACTTTTACATGTGTAGAACTATCCTAGGAGTGTGAAATGTGATTAAAGAGAAGGAATGGGATTAATGAAGTCATTACCTTATTAATCACAAGTTTTCGCACCTAAACTCCTCTTTTCTCTTCTCTTTTCCTTCCTTCTTCCTCCCTTGCTCTTGGTGCATGTATGGTGGATGAAAATGGAGTATTTCCAGATCTTTTCTCTCCTCTTTGAGTGTCTTGGTCGAGCCTATGGGTATAGGGAGTGATTGGGGTGTTTTTGGCTCTTCCTATGATGGTAAGAGGTGAGGGGTCCCTTGGAGTCAACTCTTGTCTCAACCTCCCCTTCCATCCCCCTTCCATCACACCAGCCGACCCCCTCTCTCATTTGTCTCAAATGATTTCGTGGGGTGGCCCCCACATATGTGGGAGGTCATCCCTTTGTGTCCCCGAGTGTACACTCGATCCCGAAAGTTGTATTTTCCGGACTGTTTTAACTATATTTCATTTTATCGGGTAAAATGAAATATATCTCATCCTTCCAATTATTATTGGCTATAAGAATGAATGTATATTCCTCATCTTTAATTTGGTGGTCTCCATAATTTATTATGGCTTTTTATCTGATATTCCTTCGGTACCGATAAATGGGCTTTATATGCACAACTGGCCAACACGCATGGTTTATATGGCCCAACTTGGACATCCACCATCATATACATATTATCTAGACCCAGATGAATATAATATGCGGTCCCAATAATATCGGGCGGCCCCCACCTCTGGTGTGGGCCCCACGTGGATTTTACTATCCACGTAAAAGAATGATAAAAATTTACAATCGCGTAAAGATGAGTTTATTCATTTATCAAGGTTCAGTACATGAATTGATAAAGTACAAATACTTGGGGGCGGTGTTACAGACCAGGCATAAAACCGAATTGATTCTCTGAAATCTTCACCGTTCTTCGAAGTCTTTGCTCAATCACTCGCTCCCAAAGTTTCATGGTATGACTCATAAGCTTAATCCCTCGATAGTTGGCACATTCTTGTACATCATCTTTATTCTTAAATAAGGGAATAAGAGTACTCTTTCTCCAACTCGTTGGAATCTTGTTGTTTCTCCAAATTTTGTTGAAGAAATTTGTTAACCACCCGATGCCTCTCTCTCCCAAACTTCTCCAAGCCTCGATCCGTATGCCATCTGGACCCACTGCTTTCTTCCGCCCCATCTTCCTCAGAGCCTCTTTAACTTCCGTTGGTTGGATCCTTCTCACAAAATCACGATTTACCATACAATATGGTATGGTCAAATCATCGATATCTTGCACTTTGTTCCCGTTGAACAATGTATCAAAGTATGATCTCCACCTCTCTTTTATCTCTCTGTCCTCCATTAATATCCTTTGATCGACATCCTTCACACACTTAACTTTTCCGATATCTTGAGTCCTGCGATCACGAAGACGAGCAAGTCTATAGATGTCTTGTTCTCCTTCCTTAGAGTCCAATTTTTCATACAACTCCTTGTTCACTTTCCCTTGTGCTTCTTTTACGGCTTTCTTTGCTTGTCTTCTAGCCTCCTTGTATGTTTCTATGTTCTCATCACTCCGACTTATCCCCAGCTTTTTGTAGCAATCTCTTTTGTTCCTTATGGCTTGTTTCACCTCATCATTCCATCAAGACGTGTCCTTTTTGGGTGGCAGACATCCTTTAGATTCCCCAAGTACCTCCTTTGCCACTTTGTTAATGGTCAGATCCATCGATAACCACACATCCTCCACATGTGTTCCATTATCAATTCGCCATACATCTTCACTGAACATTTTGTGTGTAAAGCTTTGTTGAAGATCCCCCTCAAGCCTCCACCACTTTATCTTTGGCTCCACTTGTTGCTTAACTTGTCTTCTATGGTTCTTACCTCGAAAGTCGAGCACAAGCATCCTGTGCTGAGTGACAACACTCTCACCTGGGATAACCTTACAATCGGTGTAGCTAGTTCTCCAAGTAGTCTGTACTAAGAAGTAGTCAATTTGGGTACTATTAGCTCCACTTCTATAGGTTACAAGGTGAGAGTCTCTTTTCCTAAACCAAGTGTTCATTATAGGCAACTCATACGTCGAGGCAAAATCCAAAATGTTCTTTCCCGCTTCATTTCTAGTGCCAAAACCATGTCCTCCATGAATACTCTCAAAGCCATCACGAATCGAGCCCACATGCCCGTTGAGGTCGCCTCCTATGACCAACTTCTCTCCTCTTGGCACTCGTCGCACCACATCTTCAAGATCTTCCCAGAACTGTTGAGTTGTAGATGCATCCAATCCCACTTGTGGTGCATAGACACTTACCACAGACACAATCTCACCCCTCATCACCAATTTAATGCTCATGATGTGATCGTTCTTCCTGAAGACTTCTACCACATCCTCAACATAGTCACGTGCCACAATAATGCCTACCCCATTCCTGGTTTTATCTCTCCCCGAATACCACAACTTAAAACCTCCGGGATTAATCTCACGTGCTTTCTCTCCAACCCATTTAGTTTCTTGCACACACATAATGCTGATATTCCTCCTCCTCATAACTTCGACTACCTCGGAAGATCTGCCTGTAAGAGACCCAACATTCCACGTCCCAAAGCGCAATCTAGCACTCCACCTTCTGTTCTTAGCCCTGTCTCGGACCCCACCATGCCCTTGCATATTTGACATCATCCTCGGGCAATGGGATGACGCGCCGCTTCCGGACGACGACCTAGAAACCTTAACATTCTTATCACCACACCCAGGCCTATGAAGTGTAGCGCGCCCTTGCATATTTGACACCACCCCCAGGCGGAGGGATGACGCGTCGCTTACGGGCAACGACCTAGCTATAGCGATATTCATATTTCGATTCATGTCATGTGATGTGACTAGGTAATACTGTCCGCCGTCACGCGCCTACCACAGCACCCTCCTCCTTTATCCTGGCTTGGGACAGGCATGAAACCAAAAAAAATTGATCTCATGGCGGAGCCAACAACAAGAGAAAAAAAAAAGCTACCGCCACCTCGAAACCAATCTGCCAAGGGTAATCCTCAGGCACAAAATACACACAAACAGGACCTGACTAGCATTCCTAAGTTAAGGCTGAAGAGGCGCGAAGGTGTTCTGGGGTCAGTGGCTGCTGATAGAACTCCCAGCTCTTCTGCTTTAGATAGCAGTCCAAGCCTCTCAATTGTTGACAGCGTAATCTGAACGTCACAGCTTCCGATAATACCCTGCTTTCTTTGTCTTGATTAGTAGCCTCAACTGCTCCACCCTTGCAGTAGTTTCATGACCGGTGCTACTGCTGCTTTTGAGTTCCTTACCTTTTATGATTTCTTTTTGGTGTCAATATCAATCGAAGCTGGAAGGATTGGCTTCTGGGTAGAAATTCAAGTTTTTGGCATGGCCATGGAGCCCATCATCTATCGTTGCACTATTTGGAGTATTTGGTTGGTGCTCAATTGCCTTTAATAATTTTTAGCTAACCCATTCTGAATGATGCATGTCTTTGTTAAAAACTTAAAATAATCTCTATTCAATCTCCCTTACTTTCATGACTTTAATGTACGTTGCTTTGCTTTAAAGTTGTATATAATGTCTTTAGATGTACATTGTATGCCGTAAATGCTTCCAAGTATTTTCAACAAATTCTAAATCATTATTCCAGCATTTTTAAATTTAAACTCTCCGATAGGTTATGAAAACAGTGGCGAACCACTAATTGAGCATTATAAGCCTTGCACCGGTCTATAGGGTTGTAAACGATTTAAATAATTTGTGCTCGATTCGCGATTCGAATTCGTATGAGATGATTCGAATTCGGAAAATTCAAATACAAATAAGAATATTAAATTCGATTCGAGTTGTTATCAAATACAAATAAGAATATCAGTGTATTCGGTTCGAATATTAATCAAATATATTCGATTAATAATAATGGTAATATTAATATCAATATTAATAAATGTAGTAATAACACTATAATAACTTTTAAAAGATAGCAATACTGTCAAAGTGTAGCCCATATATACATTTTTGCATAAAAAATTCAAGCCTATTTGTAATAAACCAGAATATAAATACGAATACAAATCAATTTTTTGGTTCAAATGTCTTTCAAATACAATACAAATAATTATGTATTCGATTTGAAGAATAAAATTAGAGTTGTTTGACTTTGATATATACAATTATTAACTTATTTCACACATTATAAGTATAATTTGTAGTATGTGTGTGTTAGTGTTTAATTATTTCAAAAGGTTTGAAGTAGATTTATATTTATTAATCATAAAATTGATTCACTTTAGTATATTGTGCACCATCTAAAAATGCATTGATCCATTAAATTTAAATTCTAAAAACACATATTAAGTCATAGCATGCATTTACAACATAAACAATACGGAGTATAAGAAAAGTTATTTTAAAGCAATACTCCGTATTTGACTCATATTTAACCTATGATCAAATCGATTCGATATTCGTATATAATTCGTTAACTATTCGTATTGTTAAACAAATACAAATACAAATCGAAATTAATATTCGTCGCATATTTGAATTCGAATTCGTCTTCGAAAAAATTAAACAAATACAAATACAAAATCTCATTATTCGACTCGATTCGGTTCGTATACAACCCTACCGGTCTATATATAAAGGAATGCTTTGTATGCAAGTGAACGTGGATGAACAACTAATTCTTTCTATAAGCTAGCTCTACTTAAGCGTGTAAGTTACAATCAGGGGCGGACCCAGGAAGTTTGTTTTGGGAGGGCGATAACTTATCAAAATATTTTTTGGGAGGGCGAAAATTATTTTTTATTATATACTACGTATATACACTAAAAAAAATTGTTGTTGGGGGGGGGGGGGGGGGGCGACCGCTCCCCTGGGTCTGTACTACGGTCCGCCCTGGTTACAATTCCGTTTAATAAAAGTTTTACCATTTGGTCAGGGGCATAATCGACTACTGTGAAATTTATACATCTATCTCACTTTATGAATTTGTATATCTGTATAATCATTTACTTTCTCCCTAAGGTTTATTTCAAGATATGTGAATCTATACTTGTGTATTTATTTACACGGTTGATGAATCTATAAAGTAAAAAAGTACTCCCTCCGTTCTTTAATACTTGGTCCTTTTTCCATTTTGGGATGTTCTCTATTAGTTGTCTTTGTTTCCACTTTTGGTAAGTTTTTTCAATAAATATATCCATTTACCCTCATTCACTTTCCTACTTTTTCATTCTTTTTCCTACTTTTTCCTTTACACACAATCCACTACACCTTTTTTCCTACCCCTTTTAATTCCATCTTAAATCTTGTGCCAAAGCCTATACTCCCATCTATTAGAGAACAGTGGGAGTATTAATTAGCTAAGTTATGTTAACAAGAAAATAAAATCTAACAGAGTATGTGAGTACGTATTTCATTCTTTTTTAACTTTTAACACAATTTCCTTAGTTATTATAAAAAACAAATTACATTGATACATACTTTTGTTTATACATAACAAATAAATATTTCATGCACATGATTTGTCTAAAGAATCACAATATTGGGCATTTAGCTAATCGCCAACGCGCGTAGAAAAACTAGTTAATATAATAAAGATAAGGGGTTGGTTCGCCTAGGTAATAACCCAACATGCAGTATGTAGTTAATAAATATGGAGTATTTTAAAATAGATTTAAAGGCCATTTTCTAATACCTAAATTGCTTGAATTTGTTGATTTTGCAAAAATTTATGAAGTTTTGCTGGAGTTGCTGAATTGGCTTATTCTATTGATTTATGAAAAAATAAACTTAAAATATATTTTATTAATACAATAAAGAAAAAATTATATGAAAAATAACTAAAATGATTCTTTACAATAACTTCAGCCAAAACTTCGGTGCGTGAATTTAATAAATACATGTTTGGTGAAAAAGTTGGCTGATAAGTCTGATAATTCGAAAAACAAGGTCACCAAATGAGCTCTTATACTACTTCATCTCATACTAGATGTCTTCTATTAAATTGACACAATTATTAATAAAATGATTGAAAAATGAAAGATTATAAATTACATACTTCTTGCCAAAAAGGGGAATATGGTATTCATTTTTGGAAAATGCTTAGTGTACATCAGTTGTACACAAGTTGTACACAAAACCACCCTAGTTGCCTGTGTACACAGGCAATTCGTTAAAAAGGGGGCAGGAGTTGATGCCAAATTGCCTGTGTACACAGACAATGTACACATTTTGTGTACATCTTGTGTACACCAAGAATGGTCCTTCATTTTTTGCAAACCCAAAAAGAAAAGTAATACTGCATTATTCCACTCTTTATTATGCATTATTCCACTCTTTATTATTTCAGAATTTTGTCCATTTAACAGCTGCATAGGCCATCTGCTCCTTATCCTTTCCACGTGACAAGCCCATGACCACATACGACATGATTACACTTTGATAACGTTTTATAAGTGTTGGGATGCGAACGCTGCTAGGATCATACTATGTGTAAATCTGAATTACGGAGTATTTTTTAATGCAGGCCAAAGATGAAGGTAATATGAGAGAATATGGTTTTGGGAATAATGGCTTACCAAACTAGGTAGCCTTGTTAAATGTTCCACACCGGAAAAGTTTGGATGGACAAAATGCTATATTAACACATGAGTTACTCCTCCTATCAGGTTGACCTTTTAGGATGGAACCCCGTGTTTTAACATGGTATCAGAGCCAAATCGATCTATGGTGTGGGTCCCCTTGTGAATCGTGAGGACACGATTATAAAAAAATGACAATTATGGCCGGATGAAAAAAACAGACCGATGAAAAAAAATGAATGATGACACGATTCAGACGAAGTGTCTGGTCATGAGGAGGGGTGTTAAATGTCCCACACCGGAAAAGTTTGGATGGACAAAATGCTTATTAACACATGGGCTACTCCTCCTATCAGGTTGACCTTTTAGGATGGAACCCCGTGTTTTAACAAGCCTCATGATATATTTATACTAAAATAATAATATGGAAGCTACAATTAATATCCTAAAATATAATGGTCTATTACACCTTCTCAATCTGTGCAAAAGGCATGATGTGCAGAGGATTTTAAAAATTCAAAATGTTGACTAGATAATTTTTAGTAAAGATGTCAATTATCTTAACTGACTGGGGATGTATTTAACAATAACATCATCATGAGCTACCATTTCCCTGGCAAAATGATAATATATTTTAATGTGCTACTTTGATCGTGCTGAATGGGGTTATTCGCAAATAGGAAGCAAAGACGTTGTCGTAGAAAAACTGGACCGGTTTAGGAACATAGAAACCCAAATCAGCAAGTAGAGAGCGAATGAGGAGTGTCCTGAACCGTGTATGCAACTGCACGATACTCAGCATCAGTAAAAGGTTTTGAAACCGTGTGTTGCTTTTTAGATCTCATAATATGAGCTCTATTGCCAAATGGCCTGTTTTCTTACCCATGGATAATTCTGACAGAGTTTTGGTGTTTAGGGAGTTAGGGGATTAATTTACTAAGTTTAGGAAGTTAATTTGGTAGGAGCCACTTTTAGCACTGTTCCATCCCAAATGGGGAGAGAGTAGTCACTTTTTAGGAATTTGATTGTTTCGAGGATTGCATTGTATGCATGGATTCACCTGTCTAATGAAATTTAATTTCTAAACTTTTTTTGGTGAGACCGAGATCAGAATGGAGAATGTCTAGTAAAAATCTGAAGAAGAAAAAAATTAATTAATTAATATAGCTAGACCTCTTACCTTGCGAGAAAGATAATTGGAGACCCGGTCAAAAAGCGTAAGTGTTTTGCACAATAAGATGAGACTTGAGGATCTTTCGAAAGAAATGACGTTCTCCTGCCAACATGACAAGGACAAATAAATTGATTAAAATTGGACTTGAAGGCTTTTGCAAAAATTTAGCATTAGTCCTTCGCGAACTTCAAGTGTACGTCAAAGCACCAATGTGCAGTGACGATTTAGCTTAGTTGTACACAATGTCTACTTTTGGCATATAGATAAGTGATAGTTCCTTTTTAGTGTCTTGCTAAATTCTTTATTCCTAAGAATTGCCCCGAAACTCCCGAATACATTGAGTCATTGTCAGGTTGTTCCTAACTCTCATAAAGGGACTCTTTCACCATTCACCACCACCTTCACAAGTCCTTCTGATATGGAGCTAGTTCAAATGTGTGTGCTTCCATAACTTCAAGGATGCTCTGATTAATTTTGTTAGTAATTTTAGCCAGAGTACAAAGAGGTAATTAGGGAAGAATTTTCTTGATTCAGCCTGTCTTTTCTGTGAGTATCCTCTTAACTACTTGTGCATGCTGATATTTTAATATCATGTGGTGATTATTGTACGTCCCGAAGTTCAATTTGCTTGAGGACAAGCAAAAGTTTAAGTGTGGGGAAACTTGACAAGTTCGTATTTCAACACGCATTTGATGCGTGTTGGGATTGAGTTTTGTCACTTTTCCTAATCTTTATGAGTCACAAAGTGCTTAATTAGCTCAAGTCACGGTTTACCGGGATTGGTTTGCATTCGTTGGGAAAATTAGGAATTTGGACCCGGCATCGGCGTTAGAGCTTAATTTGAGAAGATTTG